AAACCGCTCGGCTTTCTCGGCCGAGAAGAACCACTCGGCTCGGTTTACTAGGCCGAGTGGTTCTTCCGGCCTTTAAGGGTAGTGGAGATCAGACTTATTGCACAGAACCTTACTAGCGGCTTAGACGACCAATCGCCGCTATTGACCAGACAAACGGAGTGGACGGTGTCCCTCCGTACACAACCAGTATACCTAAGGAGATAGTTTAAACCTGGTTAGTCGCTCCAATTGGCATGGCCCGAAAGAGCCTGCATTGCACTTGCCGAGTGGTACCGCAACCCGGGGTCTACCGTCGGAATAGGTGGAGTAAGCACAATTTGTGGGGAAGAATGCTCGGCAGTTTACCACATATTATTATACCTTTTAATTAAATCAAATGTGGCCCTGTTTTGACTAATGAATGATTTATATGTGTACACATATCACTTAAATTATTCAATACATCCTTTGAGTAGTAGTAGTAGCAGTAGATCCTGCATTTTAGCCATGCCTCATTTCGCTCTATTTGCTCTTTCCAGCGCTGTTTTTGCAGGGGGCTGATTCTGTGAGCTACAGCTGACCACGCCCCCCTGCAGGAGAGGGGAGCGTGCTCGGAGATCAGCTGCTGGGCTGTCAGAAGAGGGGGAGAAAAAGAGATCTCCGTCCTCCGTTTTTTATTCTTATAGAAGTAAGAAGAGAAGTAACGGGGCAGAAACCCTCCTTTTTACGCAGCGGTCCAGACATAGACATCAAACCTGCGACACATATTCAGTGTGCAGTTACTTTGGCATTAGGGCAGGGATATCTAGATACTTTCCAAGGTTTGACATAATGAATTGTGCTACTTTTAAAGCAAGCAACGATGTTTTCAAATCTGTAATAAAAAAGCTCCTCAAAAACACTATCGAAGCAGTTCCTGCCGTTGCTACGTTAGTTCAAACAGTAACGGACTATTTTTCTTAGCGGATTATTTTTTAAATCAATAAAATCATTTTCTAAATCCATAAAAGCATTTCAATTAATATTGGGAGTCATGTGGTTACTTTGTTGAGAATGTGGCCTTGTAATAAGCGGGATAATGTGCCTTCATGCCGATCTAGATCCCCTCCGTCAAAAAAAAAAAACCCGGCTCGTTCGCGGGCGCGAGCCGGCTCCCGTCGTTCACTTAAAAGCCGGCTCGTTCGCGACCGACACATCACTAGTGACAATAACTTAGAAGTTCATCAACAGACAAGGTCACACCAGCAATGTTTATCTACCCGTACTAAAAAACGAAATAGGTAGTATTATGACGTAGATATTATAAGGTAGACTTATGACGTAGAGACTAACTGTAGCTATGATTGCTAACATGCTAGCAAAATGTGCATATGCTAGTCATACACACGATCTCCTGAGATTCTTTGTTATGTTCTCTGGGCTGTAAACTCTTCCCTGGTATTTTAAACATACTTTCATTCAGTAAAAACGTTATTAAAGCGAGGGAAAAACTGTCAAAGCTAGCTATCTTAGCAGCTATTAATTAGTGTAGTTTTACTTTGGACCTGCTGCTAGTGTTTATGCCAGGCTAAGCTAAGCTAGCTCATTAACGCTCAGACATTAGAGTAGCCTCCTAACAATTGTCTCATTTAACTTTCAGCAAGAATGAGAATGACTGTTTTTAAAATATCAAACTACTTCTGCAATTGCTATTTTTTCCTCCGAGTCAAAACCAGGAGAAAGTTAGCTTAGCTTAGCAAAAAGACTAGGAAACAGCTAGCATGGCTTTTTCTGGAGTTAAAAAATACATGTCAGAACAGCTACAAAAATCCCCCCAGTTAACTTTCAGCAAGAAAGAAAATAACCTCAGTTTGTAAAATATCAAACAATTTCTGTAATTGTTCTTTTTTCATCCGAGACAATTAAGGTTTACCTTGTGAGTTCCTGTGCGGTCCCGGTCCATTTTGGAGACCGTCATCTGTGGAAACACAGGCAACACAGAGTCAAAAGCATTCAAAAATTAAGAGCCAGGATATAAACAGTCCTCTTAAGTAATGAAACACAGCGCATTCTTCACAAAGTATTAAAAATATGTGTTTAAGATGTCTTTGTTTGCAGAAGTGAGGGGAGCTCTTGCAGGCCTACAGTGTGCATGCAAATACAATATAGGAAAATCAATTGTTTGATTTTGTTGGGCTGAGGAACATAGTATATAGGTTTTGCATGGATGCAGGAGTGCATGTGTTCCTAGGCTTGGTAGGTGTGAATATAAATACGTGTTAAACACTGGTTTGCATTGGAAGGATATTTGTGTGCACCTAGAACGCACAAAGTCAAGGATCCAATTGTGAATAAAGAACAAAAATCAGGAAAACAACATTGTTAAAAAGACCAAAATAACCGTGTGCTAAACGGGACCATCTGGAACTGTTAACAGCCTCCCCACACTCTTTACACATTTGTTATTTTTTCCATACTGATCCTGCCAGAGGATGTGTGTGTGTGTGTGTGTGTGTGTTTCCCAGTAATAAAGTGTACTTTTCTGAATGTATGTACTGTGCTCACCGCAACCTGCTTTCGAATACAACTCACCCATGTTTACTGTCATCATCAGGAAGTGGCCCTGTTGAACTCGAGCACAGAGCTCAACTTCTCAATGCAGGCGAAGATATCATCCTGTGGGCAAAACAAAAAAACAACACGGATTAAACATCCAACAACAACTGTGCCACTTTCCTTCACATATTATTTCTGTGATTGCACAAAAACAATGACAAAACAGGACGCAGGTGGTAGTTGCAACACAAAGCGCTTGTTTTCCGATATCAGTGTCACCGCTTCTGTTATTTATTTAATCTTTATTTAACCAGGACGGTCTCCTTTCCTCTTTAGAAAGCTCGTGGCAGACAATTAACAACATGACAGCCAAGAGCTTCATCTGATGCTCTTTCCATCTGAAGTCCATCCTGTGAATGCTCCGATGTCTCTTATAGTGATTCTGAGAACAGTGGAGGAACTCCTCAGTGTTTGATGACGGAGGAGATTCGGTGCCATGGAGAGGAGTGGGTGTTTGCCTAACCTCCTGTCTCAGGTAAAAACCACGAGCACAGACAATGCAAGGGCAAAAGTGAGGCTGTCACATCCCATAATGTGGACAGAAAATAGTCTTTAAACTCTGCAGGACAGTAGAAGTATGTCTTTGCATCCTGTGAAAGGCTACTTCTAGATTTGTTTTCGCATGTACACACACACACACTGGTGGGAAACATTTGTTGCTTTCCTTTGAACGCAAGCTCAGAAAAATAGGGGAACAGGAACTACATGCAGTCCAGTTTTGTGATATTTAAATGTGCGTGGTTGTTTAGAGTTCGTGCCTTCAAACTTGTAGAGCTGACCAATGGGAAGCTGCAGGTTACAGGAAAAAAGGTCCTTAAAAAATACCTTTTATTAGCTGTCTTACGCAAAGAAAATTCTATGTATGTATGTATTCTATGTATCTATCATACTATGTTAGAGTCCAAACTAAATATGCGGAAAAAATGTTTAGCTATTAGCAATTTTACATACTTTGTGTTGTATATGATTTGTCTTGTATTACCTGTTTAATAACAATTATATGTAATCTATTGGATGTTTTAAGTATAACGCAGTGAATGTTGTGAATTAAATGCACTTTTATTGCTACAGCTGATATATTAGCATTTATAAGCTACCAGTCATATCAGTGCGGATCAGCTCTAAACGTAGAGTGAACTATTTGCATCTAATGAAAGAGGAAGTACAATTGAACCGACATCAGTGAGATCATAGCACTGCTCCTTCTCTGGCTGAATGCAGAACGAGGAAACCGGTCTGATTTAAACTCAACACTTTCTAAGCCCTTATGTTGATTTTTTTTAGGCATTTCAGCGTGATTTTGTTACGGCTTAAAGATCTGAAAACTAGCTGCTGCGAATGCTTGTTTCTGCACACAGACAACAGAAAATCACAGCTCCTACAATCTCTGAGTCTCACAGTGATAGAGCCAACATTTAGCAGCACTGAAGTTTACATTCAAACAATCTGAGAAGTAAAATCTTTACACACGTGATGCTTCCCAAAAAGTGACCATCTTTTAGTTGAACTGCCATTGCAAAACATAGCATTCTCTTTGCAGCACTGCAGTTTGACTAAAATGTTTCAGTTCTGCTGTCGTGGCATTTTTGTTACTGATTAATATTTGCAGTAAACTAAACATGCCATCACATGATTAACTGCAGATTTCCAATCAAAGCTCAGGGAGATAATATACTGAGCCTTTAGGCTGCAGGGGGACATAACGAACAGAAAAATGTAAAACAGCCTTAAAAAAAGGAGCGTGTAAATAAACTCGTACAGCAGATTTATTTTATGGGAGTCTGACCATCAATCCCAACTCTCAAATATTTGGAAAAACACTAAAGAGCCTCCAGAGAGATAAATAACACAAACACCCCCCGAGATATTTCTCAACACATCATTTGCTTTTTTGTTTTGCCATCTCCAGTGTCCGTGTTGCGCCACACACACACACACACACACACACACACACACACACACACACACACACACACACACACACACTGTGTGTCTGCCAGAGAACTTTTCATGAAAGCGATAAACAAGGCCACGAGTTACAGCCTGGGGGGCCGAGTCACAGGGCGGGGTCCTGTTTGTGAGCGGCATTAAAAACAACAATAAGAGTAATGCTGCTAAAGGAGCAATAACAGACAAACTTATATTAAAGGGGCCTTACTATGCTGATGTTCAGGTGTATATCAGTATGTAGTGTCTCTACTTTAAAGAGTCCTCTCCTGCTGATGTTCAGGTGTATATCAGTATGTAGTGTCTCTACTTTAAAGAGTCCTCTCCTGCTGATGTTCAGGTGTATATCAGTATGTAGTGTCTCTACTTTAAAGAGTCCTCTCCTGCTGATGTTCAGGTGTATATCAGTATGTAGTGTCTCTACTTTAAAGAGTCCTCTCCTGCTGATGTTCAGGTGTATATCAGTATGTAGTGTCTCTACTGGGACATGTCTCCATGCTTTAATGTTCAAAAAGCTCTTTATTGTTCTCATACTGCCTGTGCTGCGGCACCTCTTTTCACCCTCTGTCTGAAACCAGAGCCCAGTCTGCTCTGATTGGTTAGCTGGCCGGCTCTGCAGACCATTTACATGCACAAAAACCTATACAACACACTACAGCAGTGTTTCTCAAACCTTTTCCTACCAAGGACCACTTAACCAATAAAAAAACACTTGCGGACCACCTAACTCCACAAGTGTCAAAAAACACATAGTTTTTCTAGAACAGATTACAAATCGCCTGAAAGTGGTACAAACGAATGGCAACATGTGTGATGAAGGTGTTGCGCTGGGCTATATCATGCAATCGGAAGTGGAACATAACCTTGCTCCGTTGCGGAGATATTCCCGCGAGAGTGCGGAAAACTGAAATTTATTTATTTATTTCAAATGTGAAATGTCCGCGGTCCACACTTTGAGAAGCACTGCACTACAGGAAAGAAAGCCCCAAAAAGCATAATAGGGCCCCTTTAAGCCCTAAAGAGAGTACGATATTTTGGCATCAGTGCGCTGCTGACCACACATGAAAGAGAAGAGGAACCACAAGACAGGTGGTCTCCTCACACCATGTGGTCCAGTCTGTCGCTGATGCTCACACACATCCTCACACACACACTTCCACACGGCGAACAGAAAAGCCCTGTCCTGTGCCAGTGAGTCACCAGATGGCCCATCTGTGGCCCGTCGGCCCAGCGTGGAGCCCACAGATCGCCAGCCCAACTCTCCCAACACTTCTTGGCAGGCGGCTCCACTTGAAGATCAAATGCTAATCGCCACTCGCTCTTGTCGCTCTGCAGCCGCTCACACAGCTCCGTCTCTCTGCCTCATCGAGAGACAACCCTCCAGAAAAGTGCTTGAAATGCTGTGACGCACTTCACTGTCAAACATGGACGACATCACGAGTTTCACTGGCAGACGCGTCTCTTTTGTCAGCGGGAGGACTGTGCTGAAGTTAATTAAAAAGCGGACAGCAGAGGATGGGATTTCAGACGAGGGTTGTGGGGAATTATCAGAGCCAGACAAAGCAGAGCCGTGCTCCTCCAACCACAAGCTGCATTTTTATTTTCATTGGAGTGACTGAAGAGGCCAAGATCTCGCAGGCAAGCACGTAGGTCGTAGATGCATGCACACTTATCCTCTTTCAGCTCTGTTACATCACAGTGTTGAACCGAGGAAACAGCGTGATGTTTCTGCAGGTCTCAGAGGGAAACCCCCTCCTCATTTAGCCTGGAGAAGGTCTGCTCTCAGCTGCATGAGGCCTGAGCAGTGAGAATAACATCACTCTCGTGGAGTACCAAAGAAATCTTCGAGTCAGAGGTCGACTTCTAAACTTTGCAACATGACTGTCAGCTCTGAGGGTTTTTCTATTCTCGAACACAGCACGTCTGAATCAGCCATGACACACGACAGAACGGACAATCGATGAAGTTAATCACAGAGATCAGGCGGAGAGGAGGCTAGCTACTTCCTAATTTCCACCCGTTATGCTAAGCTAGCCCATTCAAAAGGTCTATGTAGCGTAATGTTTACCAATCAGATGAGAGTGGTATCAATGCTCTCATCTAACTCTAGGCAATGTCTTTCCGTCAACTGTACAACTTTCGTCCGCCTGGTTGGACTCTTTATCAATCATATAGTAGGGCTGCTCAATTAATCGTATTTTAATCGATTATGGCTTGCAACGATTCCGAAAACAACGTAATCGAAATAAAATGATTATTTTTGTATTATTACTTTTTTTTTTTTTTGGTTTTTCAGTTGAATTATACTTAAAGTTCAGGGTAACAGTTGAAAACATACTGTTCACTTTTTTTTTCTCCAATAAATGGATGTTTTCAAAGTAAATGAATAATCGCATTTAATAATCGCAATTACAATTATTGACCCAAATAATCGAGATTATAATTTTTGCCATAATCGAGCAGCCCTATCATATAGTATACATCATCACCCACATCTGTAATACACCTTTTAACACAACTTCATTCAGTCTAATAATTCAGATGAATTTCCAAGAAAGGGCAGAAATGTTGAAGGATTTCACAAAATGGACCCCGGAAGACCACCGACGCTTTCAAATTGAATAATACACCCATAATTCAATATAAGCAGTAAACATGAACTTGAAAATAACCTAGTAAGGAACCATCCATGTTATTTTCATGGCAATTCGATAAAATAGCCTCTTATTCCCACATAAAAAAACTATTGGAAACGGGTCAAATTTGACCTGAGGAGAACAGAAAGGTTAAATATCTCGTAGTTTGATTTATGGTATGAAAATGAGGAAACTTGCTTATGTAGTGTAATAAATCACAGGTAATCCAAAACCTACATTCATATATGTTAAGATATTGTAGATAATCTAGTTTGAATGCAATTCAATCTGAGTTTGAACTCAAAATAATGACATCCATCTAACTAAATGTAATGCAAAATGTTCACTGGGATGCATTATGAAACAACTCTGAAGTCTATCATATGAAAGTTATTGAAAGCTAACGCACGCCTGGAATACGTCAACATTTCCAAAAACCAAAAGCATGTTTTGCAGCGTGGTGATCTTTGATGAGAAGT